TATGTTATGTAACACCTGACTCTTTACAAAAATGAGAATTCTTATGTCAACCGAAACAAAAAAATCCAAGTATGCTGTTATGGCTGTTATGGGCACGACTCTTTTTCTTTAATTTTCATTTTTTGTCAGAAAGGAAAATAGCTAATTTTTCCTTTTCAATGGAAGAAAATAACTGAATTATAATGCAGTATTTGTACATTCTAGTAATATTCATTGACCAACAAAGTTCATAGTATTCAGAAGTAATTTCCTTCACGCAAAAGAGATTATAAGTCATTTGATTTATTTGGGTCACAAGGGTAAAGTGGTAAAGGGGAAAAAGATGCTTGTTTGATGTTGTGTAGCCCACGATAAAAAAATATATAATTTTTTGAGTCTTTGGATTTTCAGAACGTCTTGGTATACTAAAATGTTTATCAAACAGTCCAACTTGTGAACCCCAAACTGAGACTCATGTGATGGACGGCTTGATGGAAGTTTTAACATGCCAAAATTTCTTGATTTTTCGTTTTACTTAATTTTTTTTAGAAAAAAAGCACTGTTAATTAGCGATTTGCAGCGTTACTGTTTCAGCAGTGCAGCTTAAAATTCATGATCCATACTACTGGGGCTGGCCGACGGTCAGTTAACTAAAATGGTTAGTTAAAAATTGTAAAAAAAAAATTAATTAAGTAGTTAGATGTATATGATTTTTTTTTTTCAATTTTAATTGGATAACTGAAAAAATTTGGTTGATTAATGGTTATAGGGTTGAAAAACTTAAAACCAAATATATAACCAAAAAATAAAATTGTATATATTAATAAATAAATAATAGTTTTTTAAATATTATGAATAAATATAAAAATCACCTTATTCAATTTCATTGTCAAGTTTTGCTCAGTAAATTTTGTTACTCTTTTCGTTCATTTTTTTATAGATCTAATTTGATTTAAAAAATTTTTAGATATAAATTTTAAATAAAAATTTAATATATTATATAAATTATAATTGAAAATTTTTTATTATATAAAAGTACACAACAAGAACTTCATATAGGAGGAAAAAAAACTTTTTAATTTTTGCTTATATAAATTGTTACATTTTCTTTTGAAATTTATATCTGAAAAGTTAAAAAGTCAAATTAAATTTATTAAAAATAAACAAATGGAGTATGATTTAGTATTTGAATTTAAAATATATCTAAAAGTAAAAGAATAAAATTTAAAATTCATATTTTGTTCTTATTTGTCCATCTTTTTTTGCATTTTCTTGTATTTATATCCCTTAAAAATTTTAAATTTTGGTAAAGTATAATCATTTTTAAGCTCAAAATAAGCTTTCATTGTTAATTTGGTTATAACCGATAACCAAGATATTAAAACCAATTATTTTAGTCATCAAACTGAAAATCCAAAAGATTTTTGTTTTGGTTCCTATAAAATAAAATAAGATAAAAAGGATAGCCAAATATTGATTTCATTTCAATTAGACTGAAACCAAGCCATGTCCACTCTTAGATTTTTATTTTTTTTTTTGAAAGGCAAAATATGTTAATGGAGTACAAGGGATACTCAAACCCATTTACAACTATAGTAATTCAAAATCTAAATAGATGTTTTAAACAAGAGATAACTCTACTTGGTTAATTACTACATACAGAGGCCCTTGGATTTAAAATCCAGTCAGACATAGAGAATCTCCATTCTTTCTCTCTATTTCTTAGCCATTGATAAGTTTTCATTTGAATGGAGTCAAATATTCTTCCCACTTCTATTGAGCTATTTTTAAACACTCTTCCATTTCTAGCATTCCATATAGTCCATACTGCTGCAAACCATACAGATTCCCAACTAGCCTTCATTTTTCCATTAGTCATCAACCCATCATGCTGTTCAAAAGCCTCCCACTCAGTATTTGCTGTAACAGTTTTAACATTCCACCATTTATAACAACATGACCAGACTTGTGAGGAAACTTTACAATACAAAAACAAGTGACTATTGTCTTCAAAGCATTCATCACACAGAGAGCAATTTGTTTCTTGGATATCTTTTAAGATCCCTCTTTTCAGTAAGTTGATTTTGGTTGGCAGCCTATCAATAATTAATTGCCAGACAAATCCACAAATTTTGTGAGGGATTACCGAATTCCATACCCTTTCATAGATTTTTTTGCAAGGTGTGTTCCGGTTGCCAACTAGTCTTTCGTATCTCAAGCTTGATGATTTTGTGCCGTTGGAATTGAATTTCCACTTCCACGAATCTCTTTCTCCTTGTAACAGCATTACGTGCTGTAGGATGTTGTCAAGCTCCTTTGCTTTTTCTTGTTCCCATGTGTAGAGTTCTTGGTTCCACTGAAGGTTCCACTTCGATATTCCTTTCTACCAACATCCCATTTGGTTCAGCTTGTTATTTTTACCTGTAGAGATCAAAAATAATCTTGGAAATATGTTAGCCAACTTTCCAACATCCCTCCACTTGTCCCTCTAGAAGCTCATGCTACCTCCCTCACTTACTATGAAATCAAATCCTTCAGATATCCATCTACTTCTATTTTGATCAGCTACATCTATTCTACACACATCTTGCCACCATCTTGATCCTTTCCCCCTGCCCTCCTAAACCCAATTTTCCCAATTTTCATCTCCACCACCATATTTTTCCTTGATGATCGATAACCATAGACTCTCTCTATTTTCTGCCAATTTGCCCCACCATTTACCAAGTAAAGCTAGATTAAAACATCTAAGGTCTTTAATGCCTAATCCCTCATCCTTTTTGCTTTGACAAACCTTCATCCAATTAACCCAATGAATCTTTTTCCTATCCCCATAGCCCTTCTATAGAAAATCACTCCTAATTTTATCAATTACTTTTAAAATACCTTTTGGGACGAGGTAGACAGACATAAGGAAAACTAGGAGAGATGAGAGCACATATTGAAGCAGCGTGATTCTTCCATCGAAGGATAGCCATCTTACTTGACAAATAGTCAATTTTTTCCGAAAGAACTCTATCAATGGTTGCCACATTTCCCATTTTCTTTGATTTCCTCCAACCATCACCTCGAGATATTCAAATGGCAAGTCACCAATCTTACAATGCAGCAAGCGCACCATTTTGTTTAACCAATCCTCCTTGACATGTATTCCTATTAACTGGCTTTTGAGAAAATTGATTTTGAGGCCTAAAACAATCTCAAATAGCCTCATGATACACATTGTAGCCCATATGTTCTTCTTTGTAGCTTTCCCAAACAAGATGGTATCATCTGCAAATTGTATATGAGAGAAACTCATTCCATTCTGCCCTACCTCAATACCTTCAAACAGCTCATTATCAACTGTTGACTTTATAATTCCGTTAAGGCCTTCAGCAACGACTAAGAACAAGAATGGTGACAATCGGTCACCCTGTTTTAGGCCTGTGGATACCCAAAATTGTTTGGAAGGGCTCCCATTAACCAGAACTGACAGCAAGTTTGTTTTCAGACATTTGGTGAGCCATCCTCTCCACTTACTTCCAAACCCGAGTCTTCTCAGCATGTAGTCTAAGAAACTCTAACAGACCTTGTCATATGCTTTCTCAAAATCAACTTTCAACACAAAACTATCTTTCTTTTTCTTTTTGGCTTCATCAATGATCTCATTTGCCAAAACCACTCCTTTAGATAGTTGTCTTCCTTCCAAGAATGCCATCTGCTGTGCGCCTATCACCTTGGGGAACACCACTCTAATTTTGTTGGCCAGGATCTTGGCAATGATTTTGTACATTGCCCCAATCAATGATATTGGCCTATATTCTTCAATTTTTTGAGGGTTATGGGCCTTCAGAATTAAGGTAATAAAAGAGACATTTGCACTAGTAATCAATTTCCCATTCTTTTAGAACTCCTGAGC